CCGCACGGCGCATGCGCGCGGCTCAATCACGCACCACGCCCCCACACCCACCGCCGGAGAACTACATTTCCCAGAAACCCCTGCGGGGCTGTAGCGTTAGAGAGGGGGGCGGGCGGGGGAGGTAGCAGTTGGCGCGGCGCTGAGGAGAGGGCAGCAGCTATGGCCTCGCTCGTGAAGAAGATAATCAGCACTGCGAAGGCTCCTGCTGCGCTGGGCCCCTACAGGTACGCCTTAGCTAGAGGGAGGTCTCTTGGAAGAAGCAGAAGTGAGCGGGAGCACGTTTTGCCTGTGGGATTTCGCGCAGGTCTCTGGAGGGGGGGAGGGCCTGTCAGGCAGCCCTGGGGGCTGTGGTGAGGTGGGTCTGCCCCGGAGGGTAGGCAGCGTCCTCCTTGGAAACTCCACAGGGATCCCAGGGGTCCGACAGCACGAGCGGGTCTGTAGTAAGCAGTGAATGAAAAAAAAAAGAAAAAAAAACACACAAAAGAAGGAATGATTTCTCTCAAGGAAAAAATGCTTGCCTGGAAAAAAGCAGGTTGCTTAGGCAAGTGAGCAGCGAATAGCGGCCCTGAAGGCGATGGACAGTGAAGGCTGAGTCTCAAACAGATTGTTCTTTAGCAGTTGGAGAGTCCACTGCCTGGGAACTGCAAATCTTATTTTGAATGTGACTGCCACCAGGTTATAAACGCTTTTCAATCTAAAAACTAATTACTGGAAAAACATATAAGATGTTGTTCAGTGTTTCACAAGTCAGTTGTTAGTTGAAACAGTTCTGAATGTAATTTAAAAAAAATAATCCCAATTTTAATTGGAGAATCATAGAATCATAGAATGGCATAGGCTGGAAGAGACCTCAGAGATCATCTAACCCAACCTCCCTGTCATGGGCAGGGATGCCTCTCAACTAGATCAGGCTACTCAAGGCTCCATCCAACCTGGCTTTGAACACCTCCAGGGAGGGGGCATCCACAACTTCTCTGGGCAATCTATTCCAAAGTCTTACCACCCTCGTACTGAAGAATTTCTTCCTAAAATCTAATCTAAATCTGTTCTCCTTCAACTTTTCTTTGCTATTTGGATGTGAAAAAATGTTCAATAACTATAGTAGATTCTTATATCTAAGGTACTGAGGGATTTTTACTAGGGTGCTTTCTAAGACTTTTTGATTTTGCATTCAGGCTTTGTTTTCCCAGTATAAACACAGACTCCTTTGGTTTGAACTTTTCCAATTGTAGCGTCTTAGTGCCTTCCAGGTGTGTGTTTGTCTCCATTACTTTGAAACTGAGCTTTCCGAGCTTTAAACTATGTATTCTTTACAGGCATTATAAAGATGGAGAAATACAAAATGTAGAAGCTGAGAGACATGACATGAAGGTTAACTTCTGTAAACAATAAATTGTTGGTGGATTGCAGCCAGGGCCTGGCACTGCTTGTAATTAGGAGGACATCTAAGACATGGGAAGGCAACAATTCTTACGCTGTGCATAAACACACCCCCCAACAGGCCTAGCTCTCCTGTTGTAGGTTAACTGCGCTCCAACATTTTGTATGTATTGGTAGTTCTTGATTAAATACTGCTTATTATGTAGCCTGTTAGTGGTATGATCGGTCTAACATCAATAAGTTTATCACTAACTTAGTTTATCAGGTTTCAGTAAACTTGTCAAAGTCCAGCGAGCAAAAGTTGCACAAGAAATAACTGCTATGTCTCTGCTGTGGAGTCTGAGCATGGTAAGAGAGGAATGAGGGCTTAATATGAAATAAAGAATTGGGATGTGTGGGCTACATTCCTGGCACTGCTGCAGCCCTTCAGTGTGCTTTTTGCTGACCTGTTTTTAATACATTTTTGTATTTCTTTTACTGCATCCATTTTCCAGTACCTGGAGATAGGTAGGTAGATAAATATATAAAAAGATTCATATGTTTGAGTGTGTATGCGTATATATGGAGTCATAGAACCATAGTGGTTTGGCTTGGAGGCAACCTTAAAGATCACCTAGTTCCAACCCCCGTGCCATGGGCAGGGACACCTTCCACTAGATCAGGCTCCTCAAAGCCTCATCCAACCTGACCTTGAACGCTTCCAGGGATGGGACATCCACAACTTCTCTGGGCAACTTGTTCCAGTACCCTCAGAGTGAAGAATTCCTTCCTTAGATCTAATAAAAATCCCTTTCAGTTTAAAGCCATTACTTCTTGTCCTATCACTACATGCCCTTGTAAAAAGTCCCTCTCTAGCTGTGGTGTAGGCCCCCTTTAGGTACTGGAAGGCTGCTAGAAGGTCTCCCTGGAGCCTTCTCTTCTCCAGGCTGAACAGCCCCAACTCTCTCAGCCTGTCTTCATAGCAGAGGTGTTCCAGCCCTCAGATCATCTTCATGGTCCTCCTCTGGACCCACTCCAACAGCTCCATGTCCTTCTTATGTTGGGGGCCCCAGATCTGAATGCAGTATTCTAGGTGGGGTCTCACGAGAGCAGAGGGGAAGAATCACCTCCCTCGACCTGCTGGCCACACTCCTTTTGATGTAGCCCAGGATATGGTTGGCTTTCTGGGCTGCAAGTGCACATTGCCGGCTCATGTTGAGCTTCTCATCCACCAGCACTCCCAAGTCCTTTTCCTCAGGGCTGATCTCAATCCATTCTCTGCCGAGCCTGTACTTGTGCTTTGGATTGCCCTGACCCATGTGCAGGACCTTGCACTTGGCCTTGTTGAACTTCATGAGGTTCTCATGGGCCCACCTCTCAAGCCTGTCGAGGTCCCTCTGGATGGCATCCCTTCCCTCCAGCGTGTTGACCACACCACACAGCTTGGTGTGGTCAGCGAACTTGCTGAGGGTGCACTTGATCCCACTGTCCATGTCACTGACAAAGATGTTAAACAGCACCAGTCTCAATACCAACCCCTGTGGAACACCACTCGTCAGTGGTCTCATATACATCTCATTAATTATATTAAACCTTTTAAAAGACACAGCAGACATACTGTTCTTGTATTAATTAACAATTATTTGTGTAAAGAAGATCTGATTAAATACACAGTCCTTGTCTTTAAAGAGCATGCTTCTTAACATCATCTCTCTGATAGATGATGTTCTTCTAAGGTCATAATGTCTGTCCAGTTATACACATAGGTATACTGAGACCTGAATGACTTTAGGTAGACACTCAGATCTCTGCTGAATTAGAGATTTAAGAGTAGGTACGATTGACCCTAGTTAATAGGATACAACTGCAGTTAAAGTGTGATTGGGGTTTGTGCAGTTGGAAGTTTCTCTGAGCTTCACTCATGCATTTGACTGCAGTAGAAGTATACCCTTTAGTTGGTAAATTGTTAACAGTCTCAGTGAATGAAGGATTCCACTGGTAAGCATACCAAGAGAAGAAAGTTGAGGAGCAGAGAAGGGGAGATGAAGGGCAGAGAGTTACTCTGCCTCCTCTCTCTGCTATCTGCAGTGTGGAAGATGTGTTTAGTGTTGTGTTGCTGTGCTCCTACCTAGTGCCTTTGCGAGAAACAGGGTTTATTACCTCAAAACCAGAGCTATGCTAATGTAGCTATGTGCTTCTGTAGGTGGTCTGATCCCACCTCTCCCAAAGCATAAGCAGATTGAACATATGACTGTGTTTATAGACTTGTGTGTGCAAAACCTCTGTCCTCTATCTTTCTGAGATATTATAAACTACTGAAGAAAAAGTGAAATGTGCTTTCAGATAGTTAAATGTTTTGATGGGAGAACGTTGAACCTAAAATGTCACTTATGTTTTCAGCCAAGCAGTGCTGGTAGACCGGACCATGTACATTGCAGGACAGATAGGTATAGAACCTTCCACAGGGCAGCTTGTCTCTGGAGGGACAAAGGAAGAAGCTAAGCAGGTAAGATGTCTTCTGGCAATAAACTTGTAGTGCAGTGGGCATGTGCTTAGTTAAACATGGACTTGTGAGAAATCGAAGAGACATAGGGAGCACAATTCACATCCTCCAAGATGAGAGGAAAATGGGAGGAAGTCATTCCATCCTAATCCTGTCATTTTCCACACAGACAACTTGGAGGTCGGGGAGGTATCTGTACTTCATAAAGGAAAGTAGGAAAGAACCAATGTTTGTAACAAAGGTTCAGACCCCAGTAAAAACCCTGGCTTGAGTCAGGGAAAGATTTGTTCCCTCAGCAGCAAAGAGATGGTGTGAGGTGATAGGATGAGGTGGAGCTGCATCATGCATTTACATCTAACGAATGATGGTTTAATACTTGTGGTTTATTAGAAGCTCTTGTTTATTCATTTCTGATTTTGCTTACCCATTGAGGACTGTTGAAGATTTGCTGGATGAACTTATACTATAACATGGATGTAGCAAAGTTACAACTCATATTTAACATATTTACCTAAATACAACCCAGCTGATAGTTGAAGATTTTTGTCTCATTTTTTGTTAGGCTCTAAAAAACATGGGAGAGGTCCTGAAAGCTGCAGGCTGTGACTATGGCAATGGTAAGTGCTGCTGTGGTGGGGGCAAACAAGTGGTTGTTTTCACTTGAATTAAAAAAAAAATGAAGTGACCTTTAAAAAAAAAGAAAAGCTATTTGCTAAACTTTCAGTTGTTACCAATAGCTGGAAGAAACAAAAGGAATCATGAGTCTGGGTTAAAAAATAAGAGAAATAAATCAAGATGCAACTCTTTGCAGTGGGTATCAATGGAACACTGCCTTTCACCAGTTTCTGCCCATGATACTAATACTTTAACTGTAACTGAGGAAGCTCAGATACAGGCAGAGCTGCAACTGACTACAGGCATTTTAAACATCCTAGGTTTTGCTCCAGGTAAAACCAGATTTGTTTCTATGGTGTTAATATTCTAGGCACTTTCAGTACTTTTTGGAGGTAGGACTCTAATAGGGGAGCCAAACCAAGATTAATGCTGGCTAGGGCCATGGGTAAAATGCAGCTGGCATGGGTAAAAAATTCTAGCAGAGACTATATTTTCAGGCCTTTTATGGACTTTTTTGGTAGCAGATATTACATATGATGTAAGCCAACTGTTTGACTTGCTTATCAGTTTTGTGCCTCTTGAAAGAATTTGGCTTAGAATGAAATTTAAAGTGGATGTTTTCAGAGCTGATCAGGAATATCTATTTCCTCAAAGTTTTACTATGTACTAGGTATTCAGATTTTTTAGGTGGTTCTCTAGGTGGTAGCTCTAGTAGTCAGTAACTGTTCGCAAAACTTCTCAAAAAGTTTAGAATACTGGAGATAATTATATGAAGTAAAAGCAAGAAAAGCACTAAAGATTTTCAACGTTTGTATACAAGTCAGAGGTCTAAAATAACTGCAGTTATGTAATTTCTAGTTGTGAAGACTACGGTTTTGATGGCAGACATGAAGGACTTCAATGATATTAATGATATTTACAAAGAATGTGAGTAGATCTTCTGTTTCTGTTTTACCAGTATGACTTGTGGAACAAATTATATTCACAGTAAGCAAAGTGTTTTAATGACTCAGATGATGCAGTTCCAGATTCTTTGAGATTCCAGCAGAGATATACCATTAAAAAAAAAAAAAAAAAATCAATTTGCAAGCATCAGATCAAGCACAGCCCAATTTCTTGTGGATTTGTGTCCTACCATCCCACTAACTCACTATCATGTGGTGATCAACTCCTGCTATCCCTACAGGTTGATCTTCCATGCCTCTTTACCTTGATAGATGCTGTGTTGTCCGTAATATAATTCTACTGTAGGCAGCCTTCAAATACTGAATTTCAGATTTTGTATCTCCATTTCTTTAAAGTCGGTTCGTATCTTTGAATGATTTGTGGGTTATTGTTATGAGACGGGGCTTGTTTTTTTTTTACACAAGGATGAATCACACTGCTCCACTTAAGAAAAAAAAAAAAAAAGACTAATGCTTGTTTAACAAAACTGAATGTAGGCTGAAATAGGTGATTCCAATAAGCCATATTATGCAGAAGAATTTGGTGAGACTAGGCACAGGAGTTCCTTATTTATATAGCTTTGGGTTTTAATTAGATAGCAACATCTGGCCTTGAATGAAGACTTTTATGGATGAGCTATCAACACTTCTGCATGTGAAAATGGAATTGTGTGTGCATTTAAGCAGGGTAAAAACAGACCAGCCGGATACTTGGTTACTTGTTGCCTCCTACCTGTAGTTCAAGAAAGCAGTTGTTGCTGTTGTCTGTGAGTTATTATCCTGCCTCGTCAGTGCAGGACCCTGAAAGAAATTAACATTTCTGAGCTTAGTGTTAACTCTCACTAGTAAAACTTTCATGTAATTATGCAAATTCCTTGGAAGTGTTCACAGTCAGGTTGGACGCGGCTTTGAACCACCTGATTTAGTGAAAGATGTTCTTGCCCATGGCAGGGGGGTGGGTTGGACTAGATGATCTTTAAAGGTCTGTTCCAACCTGAACTAGTCTATGATTCTCTAAATTCAGCTCCTGTATCTTGACCAAGGCCGTTTCCCTCCCCCCCTCCCCATTCTTGTAATATCCTTGAGCACCAGGCCTAATTGGGAACAGAGGAATAGGTCAAAGGCCTATTTTGCCTCTGAAGGTTTGCCCCCTGTTGACTTTATGCAAATCTGAGATCTTTGCTCATGACTCTTTTGGCAGGGCCCTGTTTGTCCCTTTTGCTCTTTCTGTGAAAGAGCCCTCTCCCACTCTCTGGTCTTTGCAGTTGGATGACGTGATTTTTCTTTTTCAGCCAAGTTGATGTTAAGGCCATGCAGTGTCAGCAGAGTGCAAGTTATCACTGGCCACTAGATCACAACTGTAGCTGCTTTCTTGATGGTGAATGGTAGCTTGCTGAGATGTTACAGCAGTCAGTGACCAAAAAAAACAACAAGGGGCAAACAATAGCTGGCACAGAAGACTATTTTTCTTGCAGCCTTGAACCTGAAACCGTTCCAATGACTGCATTTTACACAGGTGACTTTGAACTGTGTTTTATCAAGCAAAGTTGGGTGATTGGTTGATGTTTCTGTTTAAATTACAGTTTTCAAGACAAACTTCCCAGCCAGAGCAGCCTATCAAGTTGCTGCTTTGCCAAAAGTAAGTATCACTTGTCTGCCTACAAAAAAGAGAATTTTCTTAAACTCTTTACTTCTGAAGCATTCTGTCAACTTTTCTTATTCTGAAATAGCTTCAACTGCAGTTATTTTAACGAAGAATCTTAAGTATTTGGTTTTTGTTTCTAAGTATACCAGTCTTCTTCCTACACATGATAAGTGATGTGAAAATGAGAGAGATGTTTCTGTACAGCGGAAGATGGTTACAACACTAGAAATAAGGGGTTGTGATACTGACAGAAGAGTAAAGTGAATTTTCAATATTGCTTAACGTTGCTAAAATTAGTAATACAACTGTGAGAAGTATACTCTCCCTCAGATATCACTCGTTCTTACAAGGTTGTGTTACACATCCAATTGCTTCATAAAATAGATATATTAAATTCCTAATTTTTTCTTCATTGTTTTCTCACAGGGTGCCCGAGTTGAGATTGAAGCTATTGCCATTCAAGGACCCCTCCAAGATATTTCAGCCTCACTGTAAATAGATACTGGATATCCTACAACAGCAGTTTTAGATTGAATATTTCTCCTTTATGTCCCGTTCCTACAAGTGACTACCAGAAGTTACATACACTTGAAATCACTAAACTTACCAAGGAAAGGTGATTTCTTTGGGATTGTGGCATTAAATTTTCTTAAACAGAAGCCTACAGTGAGTTCTCTGTAGGCAAACCCTGAAACCTCTGGAAGTCCTGCTAAAATCAACTGAGCTCGATTGCAGGACAGAGCCCTTACTTTGTGATGATGACTGGATATTCAGGTATTAAAGTACACGTCTGGGTGAATGTATGACAGTTATGCTATGGATGATCTGGACATGGAAAACTAATGACTTGTAATAGTAGATTTTTAGTAACTATTTTAAATGAGAAAAAAGGAAAGAAATAGGAAAACAGAACACTTAATTGCTTAGTATACATTTTCATTTCTATCTTTTGGGGAATTTTGCTGTTTTTTTTTTTTAACTGTCTTTAGCACTTTCTTTACAGAATAGATTACTCTTATTTTGTTCATATGGAAGCAATTGCTTGTTCATATGGAAGCTCTCTTGAGTGAATATTAATTTCAGAAAGAAGGAAATTATGCTGTTCTAAAGTAAAGTGCCAGCTTTATAAACCAGCTGCAAATGGATCTCTACCTGTAACCTTTTCATAGTCTTTTTCATAGCAATTCAACTTTGACTATATTTTGATTTTAAAAAGACATTCCAAGTGTATGAAGAAAAATATCCTGTTTAATGAGAATAAATTATAATTACATCTGTAGAAAATGTGTTAGTCTCTTCTGGGAACAAACTTTTGTTTTCCTGATTATGCTTTGATACTCCATTACAAAAAATCCCTATCTTGCTTCTTTAATAAGAAATAATTCAAACCAAAAGCATAGGTTTATTATTTATCTCCCAATAGCTAAGGATGAGTAGCTTTCAGCTACTATGGCATTAGTTCTTGGCATTTTTCTCTCTGCCATTAAGGACAGAATCATTGGCTTGATGGGGTGATTAAGCAATACTGAGAAGTCAGATTGATGATGCTAGTAAGTTATCCCATCCCTCTGCATTTATCTTCTATCTAAGCAAGTAGAAGTGGGTACTGTGTTTTTTAAAGAACTAGTTTGAAAGTTACCTACCTCATGGGAAAGTTGATTCCCTGTCTTCCTGACAGCCATATGCCTAAGCACAGTATTGGTTTGTTTAGGGAAAATGAACAGAAACTCTATTTGCTGTCATCTGTACACCTCAACATCTTTGTTTTGCTCTCTTCTGTGAAGGTGGCCATCCAATTACATATATGTAGATATATATACACAGTGACAGTAGCATTATCTCATATCTTCACTGTCTTTTGTAGAAAGTAAAATTAGCCACATACAGCAGCTTGCAGGATACTGTTTCAGTGGTAGAAACATGTATAGGCTTTATGAAACACACTGTGAGAGGGAAACCTGTAGGGTGCTCCTTCCAGAGTCTGCTCTTTGTCTGACCAGACACGGCCAGAGTGCCATGACTGAGCACTTCAGAATCGATTTCTAGTCCCATCTCGTGTGACCAGCCTCGCCCAGTTTTGATAAGCCACAAACCCAGCAGTACAGCAAGGAGAGGGCGTAGCGCTGGTTTGCCACAGCTCAAGTCACAATACTGTGGGTTCAACTGTCCAACAACTCAAATCCAGACTTCATTTCTCCTGTGTGCAGGTCATTTGTTTTCTGTGTATGATGCCTAGTGATGATCATCTCAGGCACTTTTAACTGGTTAATGATTTTCACATGGTAAGCACGCAAGAAAAATCCAATCTGGCAGCACTGTGTTGCTGTGCACCTCTGAATGGCAGGTGTGGATATTGCCTTGTCTGAAAATCTCCCTCCCTTCAATACCACAGCCACATTGTGGGAATCATCTTCCATCCCTGGTTAAACCATTAAGTGTCCTACTTGTGGTTTCTTACCTTAAGATGTGCCTTCCTGCTCTCGTTCTTCAGTTGCACCATGGCAGTAATTGTACTTCATATTTTTCATGCATCCCTGGTACCAGATTAGCATATACCAGAAAGGCAGGGAGAAAGCTGTGGGAACAGTCAAGCCTACTCACCCCTTCTAGATATGGCATGGAATGGCCATTGCTCCTGCTTTTTTACTGAGCTTGTAAATTGTCTTTTTTCTATAAAGGTTAATAATGAGGCTGTGACAGCAAGTATGTAAGACATGGGGATGTTTTACAGCATTGTATCGGTTTCCCTTGACAAAATGGGACATACTTATTTTTATTAGAAGCAAGATCATGTTTTCAGAATTTCAAACAGTGAATTTCCAAGCAACAGCCTTTGAAAAGTACCTAACTTTTCTGCATATAGACTTCCTACGGATAAACTTTATGAGTCTTGGTTTCTGCTCTTGTTCTGTCTCCTTGGCTATACTACTACTGTCTATGCTCTACAGCTCTCACTCAAGAAACAATAGCACCTAAGAAAAAACATGACCAGACTTGTTATGAAGGAGCTAGTACTAACATGAATATGACTTTCTAGGAAGTGGAGGGCAAATGTTGCTTCACTTCCTCAGTAAAGAATAATTAAGGATAACGTAATCACATAGACTTAATTTGAACAGACTCCAAATTTATAGTTGTGTTTATCTAGAGTTTAGACCGAGAGTGGAGCTAGGCTCCTGCTGATGCTACAGGACAGGACGGGCAGTCCTGGGCATAAACCTACAGGAAGGAGATTCTAGAGAAAAACTTTCCCCCCCTGAGGACAGTCAAGCAGAGCTGCTCAGCTCAGAGGGGCTGTGCAGTCTCCATCCTTCATGGCTTCCAGACCTGATCAGGCAAAGATACCCCACAGCTGACCTCGCTGAACAAGAGGCTGGGTTGCCCATCTCATGAGGTCCTGAAGTGCCCTGTGATCTTCGTGTTGATCCAGTCTCACCTGAGATGTCTGGCCCTGCCCATGGCAGGGGGGTTGGAACTAGATGATCTTTACGGTCTCTTCCAACCTAAACCATTCTCATTGATTCTCATTCTCATCTGATACAGCTTTGCTTGCATATAATTACTTTCTTGGAATATATTTAACTGATTTGTAGCAGATTTAGTTAAAGTTTACCTTCAGCAGATTTCAATAAGCTGAACAGGAGCTAAGTTCAGCCTTGCATAATCGCTGTGGTTCTCTCTTCTAACCTCTCACTTTGATCTCCACTATAAGAGATCTGCGTGCCTTGTGCTACGCTGCTGCCTCTCTGCTAACCTTGAACCTAACACTAGATGGCAGGTTTTGATTTTTTCCTTAGCGCTGACTTGTCCTTTGCTGATCTAAGTCCTTTATAGAACTCCTTTGGGTGTCTTCACTGTACAAAGGGGTGTAAATATACCAGTGCTTTCTCCAGTAAGGTACAGTCTGAAACAAATGTTAAGTGAAGCACCTGAAAAAAAATGCATGCTGGAATGCAGCTAACAAGACATGACACACTACTTCCATTAAAAATGTTTGTACCAGTAAGTAGGTGCCGCTCTAAAAATTAAAGTCAGGAACTAAATTCCACTTTTAGCTCTGATTCTTTAGCTTTTAGCTGGAGATGAGTCGCACAGTTGCTTGAATGCCTCAGGCCTAAATATGTATTCTTCAGGTACAGGAATTCTAGAATGACTGAAACAAACTCTCTTACAGCTATAACACAGCAGTTCGTAACATAAACAATCAGCCTTCCATGTCTTCCATAGAGATATTTAAAACTTTTATTTTTTAAGCAGTTATATTATTTAATTCTGTTCTTTAAGACAAAAAGTCTAAGCCCCATAATTACCCAATATGAAAAGCAAGTACTGTGGATATCTCTTAGGTCTTAGTTCAGCAAAGTACACAAACATGTAAGAAATCTTGTTTTAACTAAAGCTAAGTAAAACTTAGCTTTTTTCATTTACTAGACTGAGCCGCTAGCAAAATATGAAGTTGCAATTCAGTTTGTGGCAAACTTAATTTCACCATTTAAAATTTGTTTCAATCACATGTAACTTTTAAAAAAACAACTACAAAACAAGTCCTCTATTTCTATGAAAGTAAAGCAATACTTAAATTTGCATGTTCTACCAGGTGTTTCTTTTAGTAGGTTTTTTTTTCTCCAAATGATTATGTTCTCTACAGATTAAACAAAGCAAAAATAAAGCTCAGTACATCATTACAATAACACTTTGTTCTCTGTTAAAACATATAGGCAAACTTAAACTGCCCTAATCTCCTGCCTTGCTCTTGCTGCAGTTTTTACGTGAAAGCAGCTCTACATTGAGCGAAAGAGCCAACCTGAGCCAGCCAGATTGCCAACTATCTTCTGGGATCCCAATGCAGTGCGCATATGTGTCTGCACAGAGCTGACAGGGTGCAAATTTAACCTCTTCTAGGGCTGTGTTTATTGGTAATTGAAACAAAATTCCTACTAGAACTTTCTTGCTAGCTTGGAAATTAAGTTTGTTTAGCTTGGAAATTAGGTTTGTTCCTTCAGCTGTCCTGCCCAGCACACCCTGCAGCGTGGAATTATTGCCTCTACCTTGGATGAAGTTACGGGCTGAAGATTGTCTAGCTTTTAGTAAATAATTCTGAAGATGGGCTTGTATTTTGATTATAGTTAAAAAAAGAAAAGGCAGGCTAGGGTGTATTGCCCTATCTCTGGGCAATAAATACAGACATTGGAGCATGCCCTCTTCTCAGCCTGCAATGTAAAGCTCTCTGAACCACGGACTGATTTTCGCCCTTGGCAATCTCCGTGATGTCTGCAGGTTTGCAGAAGCAAATCAACGCGCGTGTTTTGGCCCTTTTCGCGTAGCACATGCTTTGGTAGCTCACGTACCAGGAATGCTGGGCCCCAATGTATTTCAAGGTAAGGAAGTTCAGGATACATCTAGCAGCCAAATTCCGATCTCGCGGTAATTTAAGCGATTTAGCATTTCATGTTTAGCACAGCATCAAGCATATTTTGTCTTTTAGGAAGGAAAAGGCAAAACAGCTTTAATTTGTTGTAAT